CATTTCTCATTGGTGGATGCATTGATCTTGAGCAAAGAAACACAGACTTCTCCAACCCCAGAGCTCTGCAGAATAGAACAGATGCAGTAGAAATGATGGGTAGGGAGGCCAAAACATGATGGTACAATCTTCTCATATTGAAAATACAGTGCCCACTGCCCAGTCATACTGATCCAATAGCTCAATCTGTGCAGTTGTGGGGGGGAGCCATTCCCAAATTTATAGCACTATGTGGAAAAACTGTCAGTGGTAGAACTAAAAATGCATTCCAGGGAGAATACGTCTGTTGACAAATGGCACAAAAATGGCAAGATGGTTGAAATACAGTCACTGAATCGACCTTCCTTTAACAGTCATCAGTCAGTGCAGAAACCTATTACAAGTGTATGTCAAAGTGAATTTGTTTCACACTTGCATGCCAACAGTCAGCCAGGAGCTCAGACGTGGCCTAAGTGCCCTGTGTGAAATCAGTCCATCAGGGTAAATTTCCTTTACAGTGTTACATTGTTCCAGAATTTCAAACTTGATTCTTGTTGTCTCTTATTAAGGAATGCTATTCTGCTACTGTTGATGTTTAGGGAGTACACTGGACGCTCTGCTGAAATATTGAGAAAATAATGGGGGGGGGAATGTGTAATTAAATCAGATTTGCTGTGTGCATGAAAAAATAAGCCACTCAACAGGAGAACAAAGTTGTGGGATATATGCTTAATTATATAGAAATATGGAGTGATTTTGTTGTACCTCTAATCACTGAAAAGTGCTTAAGGGAGTATGAACAGAGAGACTCCAGTGAATCAGAGTAACACATTGCAAACTAATATTCTTCATTTCTGCTCTTAACTGTATGCATTTGGGTAGATTTCTTAAACTTTCTTTGCTTTTCTTTAATCATATGACCAAACAGAAAATCAAATTAACCTACCTAAGAGTTACTTTTGCAATATTGTGCTTTAAATCATTGGCTGTCAATAACTGCCTGTTCCTGAAATTAATACAGATCATCATTGCTTACAAACCAAATTAAACTGCTTGCAGATTAAAAGGGACATATAAGAGATTTGTAGTAAATGCTGCGATAATACAGTGTAATAATATAGTGCTGTCTCTGAAATGAAGGAGCATCTTAGTCAACGTGGCAGAATGTGAACGATTTTCTTGTGGCTGAAGAAACTGAAAAGAACCAGATGAAAACAATGAAGAAAAGAAATGGATGAGGATTTCCTTCAGTTCTAATGTCTGTAGCTCTGAAATGCTGCTCTGATGAGTCATTTACAGTGCGGTCCTGTATACTAAACCCACTGAAATAATGAAAAAAAAATCTTAATTTCACTAAATGTCCAGGAACTGTTTGAATATCAGAAACAGTCGAACAAGTATGCAATGGAATGGATAGAACCTTTGTTAGCCTGATTGCTTTGTTATCTTATCAATATTGGGGAATATAATGTATTTGATAGCAATAGGGAGCAATCACCAGTGTATACAGAGGTCCCGCCTTTTCCAGTAGGTACCAGTAATAGACTCGAATGCTGAAGTCAGTTTAAAATGATGTCTTTACTGTATTCTTTTCCACATTCAAACAATACACACACACACACACAATTACACAGCTTCTAGGAAAAATAAAGGGAGATGGATAGCACATTCACATTATCAAGATATCATTTATTTATTTATATTTACATTTATACCCCGCCCACCCTGTAAACAGGCTCTGGGCGGCTTACAGAAGACGGCCAACAGGCCGATACAAATAAAACAATATCGTTGGTGGGCAATACTTTACCTGTCTGAAGAGATGAAGCTTCCAAATGGAAAAATAAGGGAACTATAAGAAAATGGGGATTTAAGCTAAGGAAATGGGAATCATTGTGACTGAACCAGCAGACACTTGGAAAGACTCTGCCTGCAGTCCGAGAGTCTTGGGGTAGGATGAATTGCAAGGTAGCCAAAGATAAGAGTCAGTGAATATAGAGGTC